CGGTACCAAAGAAAGAAAGAAAAAAAAAAGAAATCAGATAAGGGCCTTTTATAATAAAATTCAAAGGTGGGATAGGGGCCAGGGTCTCAGTCATGAGGTCCTTGTGCTCCAGGTTAGGAAGTGCCTGAGTGCCTTGTGAAGTCTCACCTAAAGGCCAAGGGTGGGGAAGCCCTCTAGCCCCTTCCTCATCACTATGGATCTAAAGAACTTTCCAGCACTATCCAGGAAAAAAAGAGAAAAGAGGAAATTAAATAACAATCCTAGGCAAAAAGAGAGAAGAGGTTGAAACCTGGGGAGTGGAAGGAATATCAGAATAATTCAGGGCTGTATTTGTTCATAGCTCTGTCTCCAAGGCCTACAACAGAGACTTGCACACATAGGAAGGAGCAAATGAATCAGCCCATGGGCAGGTGGTGAATACCAGCTCAAATAGAAGGTAAGCTACAGTTTGAATATGGCTTGAGTTTGTTCCACAACTGTTCATATCTTCAAAGGTTGGTCCTCATAGTGACTCTCCCTCTCACATGTACTCCTGCCAAGATGCCATTTGCTATGATGTGATATGACCAGAGGAGCCCTCACCAGAACTATTTGGACTATGCTATTTGGACTTTTCCAGGGACATCCTCTCCACTTTTTCCTGAAAATGTCCATAACAAAGAGCCTCTAAAACTGTGAGCCAAATAAACCTTTTCTCTTTATAAAGTGCATGGCCTTCGGTATTCATTATAGTAACAGAAAATTGATTAACACAAGGTGGTCAAAGGCAGGACCTGGAAAATGGAGGCCCTGCATCTGTGGAGAAGTAAGTGCATAAGCCAAATTGGGCAGAAAGCATCTCCTAATTTGTAATCCAAAAGGACTCTGCACAAATTCCAAGAAAAGGCTCAGGCCTGAAGAGGCTGCTCTCAATTGCCTTATACACTCCACATATTGATAAATTGAAAAACTTAGGTGTTTATAAATGTTTTTCTAGTTGGAAATTTAGGATATTCTGCATAAAGATCCTGATTCCCTACTTCTCTTTGAAAGTGCAGCTTACAAAGGTCTGCACTGGCCAGGTAAACAATGCTAGAGGCTCCAGAGCTGCTGCTCCTGACCTATAAACAACACCTCTCCATTTGTGCCCAGGCACCAATGCCCTATCTGATTGGTCCTCTGAGTGTCAGCCTTGGTTTGTTATCCTTACAGTATAAACTACTTTTGTCCCAAAGTCTGTCTCTGTAAGTATTGCTTCAGAGCACCTTTCTTTTGATAATGCATGACTATTCCTATGTAATTCAGACAAGAACTATATGTGTGGATTCTTGAAACAAACACTCAAGTGTAAAGCATGGATCTACATGAACAATTTACTTCTTTTTTCCTCATCCTGTGCCCTCGCTGGGGATATCATCACCTACCTCAAAGGACAGTGGTAAAAGTTCAATAAGTTAATCTTTCTAAAGCTCCTACAACAATGCCCATTACCATGAGCCTCAATAAAATAAAATAAATACAACTTAAGTTGTTCTTAAGAGCTGAATTATGCCCCCTGACCCGTGTCCACCACCACCAAATTCCTATGCTGAAGTCCTAATCCCTAGTACCTCAGAATATGTCTGTATTTGGAGACAAGGACTTTAAAAGCTAACAAAAGTTAAATGAGGTCATTGCAGTGGGTCCCAATTCAATGTGACTGGTGTCCTTTTAAGAAGGGATTAGGACATAAGACACACTTCATATCTGTGAAGATAACAGAGAAAAGAAATCTATCTACAAGCCAAGGAGAGATACCCTCAGAAGAAACCAACCCCGTCAACACCTTGATCTTGGATTTCTAGCCTTTAGAACTGCATAAACAATTTTCTGTTGTCTAAGTCACCCAATCTCTAATACTTTGTGATGGCAGCCTCAGAAAACCAATATGGTTGACCTCTAAAATGAATTTCACCAACCTTACAAATTTACCAACCCCTCCTTAGTGTATCTGAATCTAAACTGTGGATGAATTCTTTGTTTCACTCAACATTGGAGAACCTGTGAACACTGCACATTTATTCAGCACCTTCCTTATTTAAACCAATTTCATATTGTCATTTAAACACCCACCTGTATTTTTTTTTCAATCATTTTCTGCTGGGCAATCTCTTTCCTGATTTAGGAAAACTTATTTTTAATTGATTTAGTTGGTCTTTGTATAGGACTCTGGCAGTATATATTTTTAAGCATTCCTGTTAATTCAAATGTGCAACAAAGGTTAAATGTCATTATTCTAGTTTAAAGGGCCTTCATGGGCACCTCCCTTGTGGCCATAGGGCAGTCCACAAACAGCAGCAAAGTCATCATCTGGAAGCTTGTTAGCAACAGAATCTCAAGTTCTACCCCAGATTACTAATATTAGAATTCATATTTTAACAAGATTCCCAGAACAATTCAGATGTACTCTAAAATTTGAGAAGCACTGAATTCCCACTGGAAACAGCTGGATAACTTGTTAAAAACAAGAATACCTGGCTTCCTCTCAGAACCACAGAATCTCAATCTCTGGAAAAGGTTTTGGAATCAGGACTTTTCTTGTATTTATGTTATTGTTTTTGTAGCTAGTCACACAATAGTCTGAGGCCTGGGAATCACTTATCACAGCCAACGTATATGTCCCTCAACTGCCCAGGCTCTGCCTAACAACCTCCCAATTATTTTTTTACAAATAAGAAATATAACAGAGATATAGGTTTTTATTTTTACAACATGCATATAAGCTTACAACTATTTATACTGTTTAGGAACACAGAAATAATTGCATTATTACCAGGGTGTCAAATTATCAAGTACAACAACCAGTGAGTGATTACTTTGGGGAGGTTATTTTCACCAAATACAGCAACAATTTCCAAATTTTATTTCCAAGACCAGAATTATGAGACCAGGATAAGCCGATAACAATCCTAACAGTTGCACAAATCTCCACGTTACATAGAGGAAAAACAAAAAAAAAAGGCTGATATCATGGCAAAGGATCTCAATTAAGTACCTTATACTGGAGTCTTTGAAAGAGTTTTAGAACCCAACAATCTGTCCTTTTGTGGACACAGAGCATCCCTTCATCTCTTTTTCAGACCCCTTGTTATGAAGACTCATTTCTTAGGTCCATTTCTGGGACTTCATTAACACTAAGAGCAAAAAAACAGACTTGTTATAATAATGATAGCATACCCCACAACCATCACTACCAGAGTCCCAATCTCCCAAAGTAGCCCTGGCTACACTGGAATAGTACCTTGGAACTTTCAATAAAAAATAAAGGTGGAAGAAGGAGCTACAGACAAAAGTTAACTGATCATAACAGGAAACTGATGTACCTAGGTGATGACCACACAAGGTCCAGGGACATCCTCTCCACTTTTTCTGAAAATGTCCATAACAAAGAGCAAAACTGTTTGTTGTTGTTGTTGTTGTTGATAGCAGGTACTGAACTCAGGGGCACTTAACCACTGAGCCATATCCCCAGCCTTTTTTTCATATTTTATTTAGAGACAGGATCTCATGAGTTGCTTAGGGCCTCACTAAATTGCTGAGACTGGCTTTGAACTCATGATCCTCCTGCCTCAGCCTCCCCAGCCACTGGGATTACAGGCGAGCACCACCACACCCGGCAAAACTGTGTTTTGTTTTGGTTTGTTTTTTTGTTAAAGCAGATTTGTACAGCTATATTTTCACTTTTTCCAAGAGGCAAAAATGGGAGAAATGGTTAACATTTTACTTAGGAGGTGAAATGTACAGCATACAGCATTCGTCTCCCACATATACAAGGCCACATCTAAACCAAGGGAAAGCATCCAAAGTAATATAAATAAAGATTCAGATTAGACAAAAGTTTGGACCCTTGCCTAGGCACCCTATTTACCGACAACCCCTTTAATTCTTCTTTCCCAACCCTGAAAAGAGTTCCTCCTATCCCCTCCTTAACTGAGAGAGAGGCATGCTATCCCTGCAGTTTCTCAAACCATTCCTGCTTTTCCAGGCCAACACCACACCAGCTCATACCTGCTGTGTTTGCTGATTTCCCTGCCTCGCATCCTCCAGCTACAACTTCAGTCAAAGACTCTGGTGCATAACTTAGGATGAGGTCTTCTATAAGGTAAGGGAAGTTAGGGGGAAGGCAGGTATGGACTTAGTCCCCCTCAGGGATGAGGGGGAGAGAGGACAGGCAAGCTTGGGCAGGAGGGCTCAGTTCAGCTTGCATACTCACTGGAAACAACCTAAAGATCTAGAACAGATTCCACCAATGCCCTTTCCCATAGCCTGGGATCCTCCATCATGGAGTCTAAAGCCTACTCCCATGGGATTTGAAGGCAAAGAGAACAAGTCCACTAAAAGTGGAAAAGCTCAGTGCTGAGCATCCAGGTGACCAAGGCTGCCCACAGAACAGCAGAAGGCCCTAAGTCTTAAAGGGTATGCACACACACAAAAAAAGAGCAAGAGTAGACAATAGTCCAAACACTGCTGCCTTGAGATTTCTAATTCTGGCATATGAACAGGCATAAAAGGGGCTTCAACTTCAAAACTGCAGATTGAGCCAAGGAAGTCAGGACCAGCATTTGACCACAGACCAAGTGGGGTTCTGGTTTCCTATACCCTATTTCAGTCTAGTGTGTGAGCGTGCATACCGAGTGCCCGCTATCTCCCTAACTGTGTATATAAAACCCTGTTCTTGTTTTTGTTTTGTTTTCTGAGATGTGGTTCTATTGAAGCAAAAAAGGAAGAGGAGGAAGATTAAGGAAGGTTGAAAGGGAGGAGACAAGGGAAAAGAGGAGAGTAGCAGAAAACGAAGGAAAGAAAGGGGGGAACAGTAGGAGGGAAGTTAAGAGGCAGGTCAGGAAGCTGGAGTATGGAAATGTAAGATGAAGTCAAGTGGAGAGATGAGAAATTCCTCTTCCCCAGCATTCTGATCATATTTTAGGAGAGGATAAAGGACTCTGACAAAGGTACCTAGTTGACAAAGGTAGCTCCACCCTCACCTGTAGTATGATGACAATGAGCATATGTCCACACACACCAACCCACCCATCAGTCTGGCAGCCAGTAGGGTTCCTGGAAGTATGAGGAGTGCATTTGTGTGTCTCATGCACTGGCAGGGTGTCTGGGTTCACAGGCAGTTCTTGAGGTTCTTGTTGACCTGGAAGTCAACTGGGGCCAATGCAACCTAGATAAAACCCAGTGGCCTGACAAATGACCAAGCATGGCCAGACCTTGAAGAAGGTTCACCAGGAGATGGGTCCATAGGCAAGAAGAGACATGATGGTACAGAACACATGGCATACTGCTTCTTGCCCTTGACCTCGTCCATGCCCGGCAATCAAATGCCATTCTGCTGGATGTCCAGCAGGTGGTCAGCACAGACTTCAAGCCAAAGCTGGAGATAAAAGTAGATAGCATCTTGGCCGGTACCCCCAGAGCCACAGAGCAATAAATTCTGGCTGATGACTAATACTTTGTACACTGGACTTATTTTGCAGTGGCAATAGAAAAGTTTGCCATTGATGGCATGCATGGCCAGCATAAACATGAAGCCCAGCAAATGACTGGCTGTGAAGTAGCAGAGCCTGAGGCTGTTCTGGCCTTCCTGGTAGATGACTCCTGAGTGTCCATGTTAAAGACAAGTGAGAAAGATCAGAGTCAAGAACAAAGCCTAGGCAATGTACAGAAAGGCAGCACACATCTGAAGCATAAGTGCTTAACATAATAAACAGCAGGGGTGAAGTCACATAGCATGTGACACTGTTATAAAAAAGCAAGTAGGCCATAGGGAGGCAAAAGAACATGATCAAAAATGCCATATTCTTGCAACTAAAGTCCAAAGGGACTATAGTACACAAAGGCCAACATGAAGAGAAGGCAGAGAGCCAAACACACATGTAGTCAGCCAGAACAGGTCCAGCAGGAGGTAGTAGGGAGATTTATGCAGGATCAGTTGGATTGGTTTACCCCAGGCTCAGGGGTCTCCACTGGCTGCTTTGCTGGACCTGGCCTGCCCTCCTTTCCTTTCTCTCCACGGGCCCCTTCACTCATAAGGTAGTACTGCAGGGGATTGGGCCATAGTTCCTCGTTGATTATCTCAACAATCTTGTCAGATTCGATAGAGCTGTGGTTTGAAAACCAACCAAAGAAGCTACGGTTGTTTTCTGGGTTTCCCTGGCTAAGAGACTGAAGGTCGTGACCTGGGAGCCACTGGATTGGAGTAGACCGAGACACCACCTGACCTGAAGGACCACACCCGTATTCCTTGATGAGCACCTTATTTTGGAAATAGGGGTTGCGGCCGAAGTAGAACTTGATTTTGTAGCCCAATCTGGCGAGGCCAAGCTCTTCCACCTCCAAGCTGTTCAAGTAGCTTAGTACCTCTTTATCTTGGTTGTTCAGAAAGGATGATAACTGGGGGTGATTCTGAAAAGCTTGCCCCCAAAAGCCTGGGATATTCTGGATGAGAAGGTTCCTTCGTTCCAGGTGGTGCAGTCGCAGCTGCCCAAACTTGCGAGAGAGCCTAAGGTAGGCCCTGTCCGCCTGGGCATTCATGGTCTCCAGCTTCAGCTGGACGTTCTCCAGAGTATCCATGCTGCCTTCTGTCGCCGGGATACCTGACCCTGCATCCTTCTCCACCACCTTCTTTTCCTCCACTACTGAGACGGGATTACCTTCCCCAGACGTCCCTTTCTTTGGCTTCCCACCAGCTATGGCCTGAGGTCCCCTCCCCAAGGCGCTACAGGTTTCTGGGGCCTTCTTCCCAGCAGGGCCACGCCGATTCCCAATGCGGGGGGCATTTTTCGGCCTTCCCACGGTTCCCACGGTTCCCACGAAGACGGTGTCGGTTGCCAGGCGCTCTGAGAGAGATGCGGCCATCCCCGGACAAAGCCTGGTGGCGGCCAGTCCGCGGTTCCCAGCTCGGGCGCGGAGCGCGAGGCCACAATCCAGCGGGAGCCGGCAGGCAGCATCCTCCCCGGGCTGCAGAGGCGACGCGGGCGCAGCGGTTTCCAGACCACCCCAACCCGCGCCAGCCTGCACCTGTGCCGCCGGGATGTCCTCCCCGAGCCTCTGAAACTGTGGAGGGTCCGGGTCGCGCAGGGCGTCGTCAGGAGCAGCGCGGACTCGGGCTTTGGCGCGGCCTTTGCCCCGGCTTTTGGCACGAGAGGACTTTCGACCTCTACTTCGGCCGCTCATGGTGGTAGCGGACTCGGCTTCAAAGCCACGCTGTGACCCTGCGGCCCCTGGCGTCAGCTCGCGGTCCCTACCGAGCGCGCCTCTCCATGGCAACCGCCGACGTCACGGCGGCACGACTGTACCGTCGCGCTAGGACCCGCTGCGCCCGGTGATTGGCTCCGGCGTCGCGGCTGCGCACGAGCCCAGCTCGTGCACACTCCCAGCTCAATCCAACCCTTTTTCATTACTAAAAGTTTCTACTGACATGGGCCTGGGATGTGCTAACCCTTGGTCTCTTCCCATTGACCTCAGGCGTGCCCCCGCCCCAGGGTCTCATAGAACACATCTGTCCCTCTTATAGGAGACAACCTGAAGACAGCCATCTCGACCTGGCCCCCTCATGATCTATTTTCTGAACACGTTCAGTTGCTTCAGTTATCTCTGGTGACCCCTATCATGATGAAACTGCTATTGACCTCCGTGTCTCATCATGCACACCTCTCCTGAGAGTTACTCTGATAACTCCTGGGAACTCAAGGTGGGTGACAATGATAGTGATACCGCCGGTTATCAGTGATGAGTACTGCTTCCCCACATGTTGAATTTGAACATTAGAGAAGCATGAGGCAAGCATATGAAACAGGGTTTATTTAAAAAGGAGTAACATAGACTTCTCCTGCGAGGGAGAAGGGGGCCATAGATGGTATCCTGGTACCCCAAGTGGTGAGGTGCTCTGTCCTTTTTATATGTCCCCGTTATCTTTCTCCTTCCTGCATACATTACTAGGGGTGAGATGGACAAAAGGTGGGAAATAGGTGGGCTGAGGGGGGAAGGGCAGGATGGAGTAGACAAGGACACATTAATAACCTTATAGCTCTCTGTAGGGAGCTGAAATTCCTGGGACAGGTTACCTTGGCAACTGGTTGGAGCAGGAGAAGGTTCTTGATAAGATCCCTCAGGGGACAGTCTCCACCTTCCCAGACTTGCTCAAAATTGGCCTCCTAGATCCAACCTGACTCGATTTACCTACACTGACTGCCTAATTCTGGCTTCAATAGCAAGTCTCAGAGTGATTTAGAAAAGTAATAGCAACTAGTATTTCGTGATTGTCATATGTGCCAGGCTGGATACATTATCTCCATGTATGAGAGAAGTATTGTTATTCCCTTTTCCTGATGAGAAAACTCTAGTTCAGGGATGCCAACAAGCATCCCTGAGATTACACAGTAAGGGACAGAGGGTGAGTCCATATCCTATACTTTTTATTTACAGATGGCTAGACATTTCAGGTCTAAATTACTTTACTGGCTCTTAGGAAAATCAGCCTACTCTGTTAACAAAGAGGTACCAGTGGAGCACCTTTTCTCCCAGAGGACATTTCCCAAGTCCTTCAGGTACCTCAGGCCTAGTTTGTAGAGCAGGGATATCCCTCAAGGTATGGGACCAAAACAGAAGGCCAGGAGTCAGAACTCCTGGAGTAATTGGAGTAAGTCACAAATGTAGCTCGAGTGAGATGATCATTCAAGAAGCAGAGTAGGGTTTTCTAGATTGAGGTTCAGAAGCAGAGTCTTCATGTAGCAGGGTAGAGGCCCTAGAAACTGTTAATACCCTGCATGAAAGCAGCCAAACAACCTGCCTTATGTTTCAGAGGCAGCCCTAAACTGTGCTTTGACTAGCCAGGTGATAGGGCGGTGAATAGTGAGGGCACCTGTGGCCAGTATCAAAGTATGGACAGAAACCTTGTGAGGTGATCCTTTCAGGTTCAAAGGGGAAAAAAAAGCCCTTGCAGCCAGCTAATGGAGAGTTAGAGTTAGTACTCTGGGAGTTCAGAGTTCCCAGGATTTTATGTTCATTATTCAAAGTATTTTATGGACCAGAAGCCTGGCTTCATCTGGAAGCTTTTCAAGGATGCAGACTCTTAGGCCCTACCCCATTCCTATTAAATCAGAATGTGAATTTTAATAGGATACAGGTGATTTTTATGTACATTAACGTTTTAAGTATAGAAGACAGGGAAGAAGAGGAATTATTTTGATATAGGCAACCCTGCTTTAAGCCAGCCCAGTACAAGTGATATCTAGCTTTCTCCAAAGCCATGCAATAGCCTGCAAGGTTCTGCATGCTCTACAGGTCCCCTCACCACCACTAACAAGTTACCTCTCTGATCTCCTCTCTCCAGCCCCTTCCAACTACACTAGTCTCCTTGCTTTTCTTCAAACTCAATAGATAAGTGATGAGTCCTGCTTCCCTACATGTTGAAGTTTGAACATTAGAGAAGCACACTGGCTCTTTCTTCTGCTTTAAATGTTCTTTATTCAAATTTGGTTAGTAATCGTGGCCAGCTCCCTTCATAATTGCCTTAAATTTCACCTTCTCAGTGGCCATCCTGCTTAAAATTACCACCTGCCCCATCTCCTTTACTCTGTGCTATTTTTCTTTATTCCATAGCACTTATTATCATCCAACACACTATACCAATTGTTTTTTATGCTTCTTGTTTATCCTGTCTCCAAAATTTCAACTCCTTGAGAGCAGCGATCTTTGTTTTGCTATTGATATACCCTCAGTGCCTTTAAAAAAAGTATCTGCATGTAGTAAATAATTGTTGAGTGAAAGAACCAATTAAAGCAAGAGTCTTCAAAAATGGGTTTGTAAATCAATTGTCTGAAATTCAGCATACATCCTTTTCCCCACAGGTACAATGTTATAAATGAAGTCTATATTCTCATATCAACCCATGGAAACCTATTGAACTCTCATGTTAGTCAGAAAATTATCTTTGGTTACAGAGTACCATTTAAGGATAGTCTATAGGTGAAAATCTAGAATGACAAATTTAAAAATTAAGTTTTGGAGAACTAATATTTAATTTGAAAGGAACTAGTAGTCCAAGGGTCACCTTACATTCCTATTGATGACCCTTTCTTAACCACTTTTTCCAAGGCCTTTCATATTCACCCCAGACCATTCTACCCTTGATCTAATGGAGAACTTGCTAGCTGTACCATTTATTTAGCAGTTAGACAGGCACTATTTTGTACTATTTATTGTGCAGAATTATCTCTTACACTGGAGACTCATAGTCTGGAATTCTCCATAAATCTCAGAAAAATCAAAAAAACGGCTGAAGCGTCTACTATCCCTCCATAAATGGCATTGACTGGTTGTCCCACTTCTCAGAGTGCTCTAAGCTCAACCCATCTCTTGTCAAGAACCTTAATTCAGCATCAGCACCTGTATCATTTAACATTCACCCACGGCTGGCCCACTACAAACAGCATTAATTATGTAATCTGCCTAGAGCCTTTTTTCATCATTTCAAAGAGATCAGCATCCAGTGAAAGGAAATTAGTATAAGACTAACATCTTTTATAAAAATACTTCTCTTGTCCAGGTCACCCAGTCCTTATGACTTTTGTATTTAAAAGTCTGGTCTGTGCTGCTGAACTACGTGGTTAGTTTTTCTTCCCAGGTATTAATATTTAATTTAACATGGGAATGTAGCACAGGTTCCTAATTATATAGTAAACTATATAAAGGTAGGGACTGTGTATCTTTTTTACTTGTATCCCTCAGAGCCCCTAGCATGGAGCCTTGAACATACTACTAATTATAATGAAGGTTCACATTTATTTGTACTTTATAGGGTTCCATGTCTTAACTCATTCAATCTCTATAACCATCCCAGAGGGCAGGTACCATTATTGCTCCCATCTTGGAGATGAGGCTACTGCTACACAAAATGGTCCAGGAACTTCCCCAAGGTCACACAGCTAGTAAGTGGCTTTTACCCAGGCATTCCAGCTCCAGTACCATGATCTTAACCACTACTCCATGGTGGAAAATTATGGCTAGAGAGATTAATTACTGTGGTACTTTGCTTTCTCTTTTACTCTCTAGAAGGTAAAAATATTTTTTTTAATTTTTAAAAATTATATATATATTCACATATATATGTATACATATACATTTAATACATACATGATCAATCATGATTCATTAATCTATTGGGCATGTAATACATTTGATGTGGTGATATTCAACATAAGGAGGTTAGTTTCAACAGCCCATGTTGGAAAAATCATCTCCATTTGCACTGCATTTGTCATAAGCATTCTGTGAACAGTATAAAAGAAACACACATTCACTGTCATGAATTCAGAGATCAGGGATGTTTTAATGTGTGCCCATATTTAAGCATTAATTTCATGTAAGCAAGCATCTTTTTAATGTGATATTTTATTATTAGCAAATACTCATTAAAACACTTTTCAAAATGTTAGAATAATGCATCTTCACTTTGTTGTCTGAAAACCAGTCTTCCTCTCTTCCTTTTGAAATCCGTTTTCCTCAAGTCATAGAAATTAACAAGCTGGGAAAAGGATATTTCAGTCATCCATTCCCTTCCCCAACCTAGGGAACCACATTTCCCATAGTTTCTCTTGCAGAGCTTTAGGGTTCCAGACTTGATGTTTTTAGCCAGAGGGCTCTCTCTTCTTCCCCAAGGAGCTGGTCTATGTCATTAGATGGCAGTGAGCATTGCTTTCTGTGTGGGATTTTGCCAAACAGCCCTCCCAGGTTATGAAAGGGCGTGGAAAAGAAGGCATTGCCATGAAATACTTTCAAAACCAAAAAAGGATGGAGAGAAAAACTTTCCTCTTATGGTAGATTTCCAGGCTATTTGAGCTTAACATCTTGAAAAATACGCCTAGCTTCTTTCTAGTTTTCCCCCAAAGGTCAATTGTATAGCAGGCCACCTGCAACATTTCAGTTCTTATCATATAAGTAGTTGTAGAATATTTTTAAATATTGCCAGATGTATTCTTTATTCTTGGAATTTTCTTTTTACCCTAAAGCATCTTCACTATTAAAAATAGATGTATAGATCTTTAGGCTAAGACTTTTGTCCTAGAAAAAAGAAAATACTAAAGAACCCAGCAAGCAGAACTCAGTAAGTCAAAATTCAAAATTAGGCGTTTGAGAGAGAAAAATACAATAGCCTTGAGAGATAAAAGATAAGAAAGGAAAATAGATTTTAAAATACATAAAATATATGTTTTTTTCAACGGTAAATCATCCTGGGCACTATGCACATAGAGTTTGTAACATAAACCAT